ACATAAAACCAAATAAAATCATCTATTTCCTAGATTTATATAAAACATAAATCATCAAATGCATAAAAATTCTAAATTGTAACCAATGTAAATTTCTCATTTAGATAATCACAGTTAAAATCAATATACATGTTATCACAACCTAAATATAAGATCAGATTTTAACTTCCATTTTGTTGTAATAAAAATTGTCACCACAAAAGAATTATTGAAACAATAGAGAAACCTTCAAAAAAATTATTAAACATAAACAAAGGAAGAGGTTATATCCTGTTTTGACAAAAGGTCGACCAGTATATGTTGAATACTCATTACCACTCTGATACACTTGGTCCAAAATCTATAACTGCCTCATATGTTAAGTTATTGTCACTATGATAAACTTTTTGAGAATGAAAAATTAACAGATAAAAGGCGACCAAAACAAATGATACAAATACTCATGCTTGTGCAGTTTTGAATATCATATCAACTAGATGTCTGTAATAACTCATTCCCCTATGACAATTCATAATGAAATGTTCCAACCTTTGAATTGGAAGAGTTCGGATGTGTTAATGTTAAATCAATGTATTTTGACAAAAATACTCAGCATTCCTGCTGGTTGATATAAGGACATGTTCCTGTTTAACCTATCAATAGTATGGGTAGGTGATAGCACTGTAATACCAATATATTGCAATAGAAACATAGAATTATATATGTTGCAACATGTTTTTGAAATGGCAGTATATTGCAATATTATTTTTTACAAATTGTTTGGGAGTTTCAGTGCAGTTATGAAAGAATTTTGTGGGTACTCATAAACCACAAATTTACGTGTTTCCTTGAAAAATCCCAAATTTTTGCCCCCACAAAAATTTCTGATTTCACAGTATGTGTAAATATATTTCAATTGATTTAGTGCAGTCTTCAGTAACTATCAAAAATTCATCCATTGAAATATCTGCCTTTGACAGTTGAAAAATTCATATAAGCCAAGCGTTCATTTTTCTTTCTCTTGTTCTTTAGGTATGCTAGTGGGATGGTAGTTATTGAATTTCCCCACCTCCCTGTTCTAGAATAAATACAGTGTATATTACTTTCAATGATGAAGTATTGGTATCTGGGAATATTTTGAGGAACACAACTGCGTAAAAGAAAGATGTTCTGCTATGATTACATTGGCAATAGTATAGGAAAACAGACGCATGTTTAATTTTTAATCTAAAATCTCGTTTTTATGCATTTTTGGCAAAGTGTGTCGTACAAAAGTAATGAAATATTAAATTTTTGTTGTCATTTCTATTAAGATTACTATGGAATTAAATTCTTTAACTGAATTCAAATTACCACTAAGACTAAGAATCAAGAATTAATAAATGTTTAACCCTTTCACCCCTATGTAGCTTTAGTAGACTCTACCATGCAATGATATGGAGGGGTCCATTATGGTCTACAGTGGTGAAAGGTTAACTAACTGTGAATGATAATGTTATCATTATATATGTATTCAAATGTTCAATGCAAATTTACCTATCTGCAAAATAAGTTCTAGGATAAAAGCTTGACGACCAAACTGTCCATTTTAATCTTTCTCAACTTCGAATACCACATCAGAACTCCCATTATCTATTATTTTTATCATAATATATTTTATCTGTACATATAGATAACTTATAACTGAATACAGTGGTCATTTTGTAAATTGTGAATTTGTGATAAATGATATAAACTCAAATCAACAAATTCAGCTGACTAGAATTACAATAACATTTCAGAAATGGTAAACTTTGACATACATGTACCCAGTTATATATCAATCACACAACATTGTACAATTACAAATGTATGATCTATAGGACTTACATTTATATATAAAATATAACTTTCTGATCAATTACCATGTACACATAATTGTACATTATAATAATAATGAATTATTTTTATATTGATCCAGTTCTGTTCAAATTTACACACTTTGGCATAATTTGAGATGAAAATGTAGACAAGATAAAATAAAACATCTCCTTGACACATTGATTTCGTTCAATAAATTCCTCTTAATATCAAGTGTCAATCATCTAAAGAAAATGTGATATAAACAGAATGTGATATTAACAGGAATATGAGAAATATATCTAATTTAATATAAAGTTGAAGTTGTATAGGTTCATATATGAAATAATAATGTTAATACTACAGATCAATTCATTTCTGTGAAAATGACATAGCAAAGCTAGCTTTATTCGGTCATGGCTCTTAGTTTTATAAGAAACCAACATATGACAGTATGGACCCTCAGGGTAATTGCATGAGAAGTTAACCTTTTTTCAGTGCCAGTCTGGGGAAGAAATTTGTACATGCTTGAAAAATGTGAATGAAAAATGATATAACAGGGAAAGGAGCAATTCAAATTACTATAAAAACAAACTAAACTGTCATTGTAGACAGACCATTGACCTTCAAGAATCACTGATATGACCTTCAAGAATCACAGATGAACTAAAGATGTTATTCAAAGACAACCAAGCAATTACCTTTAACTTAAATCTATGACCTTTTAGAACCATTGATGACCTCTAGCTATAAGTATTGACGATATTCAAGAACCACAACTGATGATATTCAGGAAATATTGATGACTTTCAGAAACAACTGAGGGTCTTAAACAAGAGGCCCATGGGCCTTAACGGTCACCTGATATATTTATACAGAGAGTTGATTTTGTTTTTAACATGAACAGAAATATTATTCAAAGTGACAAAAAACAATAAAACCACCTTACTCAATATCTAGCATACAGATTTCAGACTAAAAAGGATTTGAAACTAGCACCTCCAGCCCTTGGGGGTAGGGCTGGCTCAAAATTTTCAAAGTATCAAACTGTCAATTCAAGGTTATAATTCCAATCAAGTTATTAACATGTAATATTCAAAGTATCA